AACTGATTTAAAGAAACTCTGCACTGTTTTTGGCAAGCTTCCTGCTTTCATAATTACTATTGTATGTCATGTTCTATTTAATCTGAATTTGGTCTCTGCCTGGTGAGCTTTTGTTTCACCCCACCTCGAGCTACAGTCCTGTGTACACTTGCCTGACAATAAACCCTACTGAACACAGCATGACTTATTTGTAAGTAAACCTGCATGGGAGTGGGCTGCAGATCCTGCATGCTCTGGCTGGCATGAGGTCATTGATCTGTGCTTGCTGAAGTTCTCTTAAAAGGGGAAAGGTAAAGAAGCCCTTAAGCGTAACTGAGTTGCTGGAGTGAGATGAACACGCCCCTGCAGAGATGGGTTTTTTTTTTTTTTTTGGCAATAATCTGGAGGTGGTTTGCTATTGCTACTTTTTGAGATGGTGATAAGCTTCTTACTTAGCCTTTAGCTTTGGGATTCCCATCCAGATCCTGAGCAGGGCTGATCCTGTTGAACTTTTGAGCAGCTGAGGCACCGTCCTTTCCTAGCAACTAGCTCTTTTTCCCACAAGAGCACTTGGATTTCTCTAAGGAGAGTCAGCATAATGTACAGTAGAAGTTGAAGCAGTGGTGGGTTGCAGGTGGTATGCCCCAGTACAGGCATACTGGAGCCTGCCTGGAGCACCGGATACCGTTCCAGTACGGTGCTCCCGAGGGCCCCCCCCCCGCTCAAGCTCCTTACTTGTCTTTTAAATCCTTTGGCCCTTCCATACATGTGCATGGTGCGTGCAGTGCCTGTGTGACGCTCTGCCAAGCAGCTGGAGCATGGCGGAGGCTTGCGGAGGCGTCGCTGGCAGGTACGTCACATGCGCGTCCATGTGGGCAATGCCGGGCTTGTTCCAACCGTACTGGTTGGAACGGGATCCAGAATCCACCACTGCGTTGAAGTGCCAGATTAGGATTTGGGCGGCCAAAGTTAGGTGACCTTCAGCTATAGAGCCGGGTTGGGTGATCTTCAGCTATAGAGCCTCGCTGAATGATTCAGGTCAGTCACCATTTTTCACTCTGTATTACCTACAGGGCTGTGTGGATAAAAAAGAAGAGTGCTATATACTGCTTGGAGCTCTAAACAGCTCCTTGGTTTATAAATTACAACAACAAAAACAAAGATGTTGAAATTCAAGCTAGAAATAAACTGTGAGTTACTTGGAGGAGAAAAAATATGTTGAAAACCATTTGGGATGCTATCTTTGCAAATCGGTCAAACCAAAAATTGTTCCAAGAGGAAGCAGCAAGATATTCCTATTACAATTAAATTTTACTTAATATTTCAGTTTACAACCCCCCAAATAAATTAGATGGAATCTTTTGGAAATATAAATGACGTAGCTTGCATTGAAACCTCGGCTGTTTCCCCAGGCATTTGAGTCAGATGTGTAGGTGGTGAGGAGAGTTGTTGTTCATCCCTGGGTCACAGGAGTGGAGTAGAGGTTTTCAGTGTGGTGAGTTCTTGTGTTTTAATCGTGTATACTGCTCAGAGTCATGTAAAATGGGCAGCTGTATAAATCATATAAATAAGTAAATGCAGATTTTACATGCATTTTTGGAAGTATGCTTTGAATTCCAATAGGCTGATCTTCCAGAGATATACTTGGGATCAAGGCCCTTCAGTGAGAGATTCTTGGAGATTTCCTGGATTACACAGTAATCTTCCTAAAGCAAACCTCTGACTCAAACTATTTAAAAGCTGGGTTGAAACCCAGCTATCCAATTGTGGTGCTAGATAGATAGATAGATAGATAGATAGATAGATAGATAGATAGATAGATAGATAGATAGACAGACATTCAGATAAATAAAGTAATGTATGT